CACTTCATGATGATCTTCGTGAACCCACTTGTTTCTCTAAAGTCTTTACTGAGCCGTGTTGGCAAGAAGCGATGTCGTGTGAGTTTCTCTTGTTTCCAATGGCACGTGGACCTTAGTACCTTGCCAACCTCATATGAATATTATTGGCACCAAATGGATATACAAAGTAAAATGGTGTGCTAACAGGTCTATTGTTCAGTGCAAAGCATGTCTAGTCGTGCAAGGGTTTAGTCAGGTTCCCAAGGTTGACTTCACTAACACCTTCAATCCGGTGGTCAAACCAGTTACCATTCAAACCATTCTGACCCTTTCCACTACTCTTGGATGGCCTCTTCGACAACTGGACTTCGATAATGCATTTTTAAACGGGTATGTTTCTAAGGATATCTATGTGTGGCAACCTAAGGGTTTTGAGGATCCATCTTCTCCTAATCATGTTTGTAAAGTTACTAAGGCCTTGTACAGCCTTTGACTAGCTCCGCATGCATGGTATTCATGTCTTAGCTCTTATCTCCTCTACTTAGGTTTTCGGATGTCTTCAGTCGATCCATCATTATTTATATACACCAAGGGTTTGGTGACCTTATATATGTTAATCTATGTCGATGATATTCTTTTTTACCGGTTCCTCTTTGTCTGCAATTAATGATTTGGTCTCTTCTTTGAAATGTACTTTCTCTCCAAAAGATCTTGGTCCAGCACATTTCTTTCTTGGAATGGAGATCACGACACAACCAAATGGGATTATTCTCACTCAGTGGAGGTATATCTTAGATCTCTTACAGTGCGCCTACATGACCAAAGCCAAACCTCTCACTTCTCCTATGGCTATGAACTCTAAACTCTCTAAGTTCAGTGGTGTTGCTCTCTCAGATCCCTCGGAATATCGGAACAGTGCTGGAGCTTTAYAATATCTTACTATTACTTGCCCCGATATCTCCCTCTCTGTCAATAAAGTATGTCAATTTCTTCACTCTCCTACGTCTGATCATTGGGTGGCTGTTAAACGTATTTTACAATATCTCAAACATATGGCAGATCATGGTCTTATTTTTACTCCACCTTAGCTCTTCTCTCGCTTCAGGCTTTTTCAGATGCTAACTGGTCTGGTTGCCCTAATGATCGACGATTATTTGGGTTTAGTCCCTATTGGAAGATTTGGGTCATTTGTTAGCTCATGAGCTCATCATCTTCTGGTGTGATAATRTTGGCGCCACGTATCTTGTTGCTCATCCAGCCTTTTGTGCATGTACTCGATATGTTGAGATCAACTTTCACTTTTTATGGGATCTAGTACTAAAGCACTGTGTGTGTGTGTGTGCATTTTTATTTCTTATGGAGATCAGGTCGTCGACCTTCTAACCAAACTGATTAGTGGTGCTCGCTTTGTTACTCTACGATCCAAGCTTCATGTCCTTCTCGGACATTTCACTTGAGGGGCGTATTGGGTAATGATTAACAATCCTAATACGATCTGTTATCTTCTCTTGTTATCCTCATCTTAATCTTATCTCTCTTGTATCTTATCTAGAGTTAGTTGTGTTATACTCTCATCAAAATACCTCAATATTTGTATTTCACTCAAAATGTAATTGATTGGACTATTATAAATACATGAGGGTTCGAACCTCTCACCATTGAACCATTATCATATTTTCTACCATGTTGCTATATGTCGAAGTCTTAGGATTGGAAAGACGCCCTCATCAATCATTTATTACTGATAAACAATGACCACCCCGGATAGGGACCGTAATGGGTTGGGTACCTGCACAGAAACTGCCCTTCCTAAAATCATTTTTCAGCATCCAACATAAACAGCAAAGCTTCAATAGCCCAAAAAAAAAGTAAAAATAAATTTCAATTTTAATATTAAGTACATGAAACAGTTCTTCAAAGTAAGGTTCAATACCCCAAGAAAATGTAAAAATGAATTTCAGTTTTACTATTTGGTACATGAAACAGTTCTTCAAAGTCCATTATCAACCAACAACATTCAACAAGAACTAACATAATACTAAATCATTTAGGCTGTGTTTGTTTTTTGTGTAAAGTTTGTATGATGTAAAAATATATCGATTCAATAGTAAATCGATCAGTTTAAATATAGTGAACCGTTAAGTGAAAAAGGTATAATCAGTGCATGTAAAAAATTACATCGATAAAATCAATGTAGTCATTACATCAATTATCAATATAAAACTCCACCGCGTGTGTGGAGTTTACATCATTTTCAATGTAAAACTGACATTGAAAACGAACCCTATCAAAATTGAACTGAAGTGTAAAATTTATCCCGATTCTCATTTACACTAAAAACAAGCACAGCTTTACATGATTTTTTATTACTTCAAGCTATGTCCTTTTTAACAGTTCAAAGTATAGATGCTCTCGTTGCCTATCAAGAGTTTTGGTTTAACAAAAAAAAAAAAAAACATTTCACATTGAAAATAAATGCCAGTAAAATTGAACTGAGATGCAAAATTTACCCCATTTCTCATTTACACCAAAAACAAACACAGCTTTACGTCATTTCTTATTACTTCAACTCATGTTCTTTTTAATAGTTCAAAGTATAGATACTCTTATTGCCTATCAAGAGTTTTGATTTAACAAAAAAATAAAACTATTAGTGTTCTTTATGTTTAGGTGTAACAATTTGACAGGAGACCAATCTTAAGTTAATCTTATAATTCTTTATATTACCTGTATCGGTGGCATTAAGGGCGTATCATATAAATACCTCAAACCTTGTCCCTACTCTTCCAGCCCCTTCAACCTGGAACCCATCACTTTATGGGCACCATCAATGATCTTTGCTTTGACCAAATCATCTTAGTCCTCACCCATTGAATCTACTCCAAAGTTCCTTTAAATGATATCATTTTAGACCTTACCCTCTCTAATTTAACATTTGTCCATCTCATAATAGGACTTCTACCACATTCATTTTTTGAATAATTTATTCTCTTGAAAATATAATTTACCAGAAAAATGAGAATAGTATCATCCAGTGTTTTAGAACCACTGTTGACTTGGATGGTCAGACCATTCAGCCCAGAAACTGTTCAAGCAACCATCTGTTTCACCCTTAACCCGTTTTTGGCCAAAAAACATTGACTTGGTCAGAGAACCGCTGACCCAGGTGATCAAACCATCGACTTGTTAAACCCAGACAACGGAGATCACTAATATCCCAATGAGAGAGAGAGAGAGAGAGAGAGAAAGAGAGAGAAGATTGCAAATTTTATATCACTGTTCTCGGTTCTCAAATCATCACCGGTGAACATCGGATGCTTCTCATCATCACCAGAGAGGTTTTGAGATCGCAATGGTGCAAATTTGCTAAGTTTTCCTCTTTTTCTTTCCAAAGTTCAAAGTATCGGAAATGCTATGCGTATCGGAAAGGCAAATTTAAGAGATGTATCGGGATATGCCTTGAATACGCATGGAAACACATGAAAATGCTATAAATACTCTAATAAATCATAAATAAACATCAATATCACTAAATATAAGACATAAATGAGTTATTTATGCAGAAAAATAACACATTTACATATTATAATCAATAAACGGGAAGTTGGGAATAGAAACATACTATCTAATTATGGACATAATAGATCAAGTAATTATTTTGCATGTTTTATTCTAGTTTTCTAAAAACTAAATTATTTTGCATGTTTTATTCCAAAAATTAAATTAAAATTAAGAAAAGTAAATATGTAACAAAAAATTGAATGGATTTATGGACATAATAGATAAAATAATTATTTTGCATATTTTATTCTAAAAATTAAAAAAATAAATATCAATGTTTTAAAACACAAAGGCATTCCACTACTTAGAGGCGTGAAACATAGTTCAAAATGCAAGAGGCATAAGCTTCCTTAAGAGGAGAAAAGAGGAAAGGGGGATTTCATTTTTTTTTTCTTTATCTTCAATAAAAACTTTTACATTAAGAAAAATAAAAATACATAATAATTGAACATTGCTCCTTTCCTCTCTCCCTTCTTCCCTTTCTTTCTCAGCCGACAACTCTTTTTATGTTTCTTCTTACAAAAGACAAATGAATATTATTTGCCCTAATATTCTAAATCACCTGAACCATTCGACCCAGTTGATCGAACTAGGTGCCATCTATAAACAATTAAGCATAAAACGACAGGGACCAAAAACAAAATTCCCAAAATCGAAACGGAGAAAAATAGAGTAAATCACAAACGATCATTCCTGGGCTCGTTTTCTTGTTAAGATTACAAGCCACGTACTCAGTTGTCTGCCTATACCAAAAATACATTGTCAACTGTCAAGTCATCTTAGAATAATAGTAGAAAAGAAACGGAAAAACTTTAGCTGTTGGGGGCAATTAGTATCTGCCACGTGCCACCACAGCCACAAAGGCACCAAGTCCTTAACATAGATTCTGACTCAGAGCCTTTGCCCTTTGGTTCATGGAAATGCTGATTTAAAAGAACGCGACAATGTATACAAGATATATCAGGAACCAATACCCATAAACTGAAATAAAACCATCCACAAGATCAATGGAGTACGAGAAAGACGGAAAGGTATCAACATTCTCGAAACCAGGATGGGATAAATTAATAGAAAATTAATGAATAAACGGATTTATTTATTGCTACCATAGAAATAGGTTGATAAAACATTCTTTACAAAGCCAAAACTGAAACACGCACCCATTAAGTTCTGTTAGTATTTACTGATACAGTGATACTTCTGCCATCTTAGTGGGTATTTCAAATATAAGTGCATAAATGATTGCGAAATGCCCTCTTTTTGGTTGATAGCATTAGACACTGAAACTGCCAAAACTTAAACAGAAACATGAAGGAATACAAAAGCAACATTAGTGAAGAAACCTGAGGTGCAAACCTTGTTGGATTTATATATTTTAATTTTGAAAATATGAGGAGAAAAAGAAAAACATATAAGTGGGAGCGAATCTTCCCCCCCCCCCCCCCAGTGGAGCAATTTCAGGCACAGACCAACAGCATGACAATTATCATGCACATATAAGCTGTTACAAGTATAAAAACCTGGGTAATCCACGTCAGCTTTTATTGATTGTACCCATATTACAAGAAATGGTTCGCATTCTTCCCTTCAGAGCATCATCCATCTATCTCCTGCAAAATAAGAGAACCCACCATAGCATGAGGTACCGGAATGCAGTATATCATTTGGAACAACCATATTTATGTTTAGAAACCTTTGCCATAACAAAAGCTGCCAACCTCAATAGCATAACAAAAGGAGAAAATAATAATAATAATAATAATAATAATAATAATAATAGTCTTATCATGCCCACCAGAGGCACTCTGAATAGGAGGAATTCATCTAGAATCAAAAAAAAAATCTTGGTTTTACACATAGGCCTCTAGTTACAGACTGGATTTTAGAGTTAATACAAGCTCACTTTATGTTTAGCCTTGATTACCAACCTACCCATACCATGATAAATATGCTCAGGCTCTGGACCCACCGTTTGTGTGGCCTCACCAGAAATAAACAAATTGCTACAAGCATTCTTCTGCAGAACAAAAGTAACATAACAAATACCCCAGAAGAATGTCTAGATAAAGATGGTTGGTACCATCCAACAAGGTTAAACTAGTGCCTAAGAAATCTGGACACATCAAATGCCAGTTCACTCCTCTCTGATCAGTAATGGTTTCTAAGCATATGGTACAGCTCTGTCAAGACAAAGGCTATACACATATCCATAATTTCTCACTATTTGAAGAACAGAAATACAAAGTTCCTTACCATTTTAATATGCGCAGAGAGTCCCAATTCATAAACTGAACTGCGTGATATACACTTGCAATGCACAATAGGACCTTGGGCAGCACACTTATCAGTAGTTCCTATCTCGCCTTCCCTCACTGGGATTGTCATATAAACAGCTCCCTTGAACATCCATTCATCTCTTTCATAACTGTAAAAGTCTTCAAAAAGTTCCCCACATAATGCACATATACACTGGCTTTCATCAGCAGGGATCATTGGTTCACCTTCCTCTGATGTCTTCACCGCCTCTTCAACAGTAGTAATAATTGTAGGTCCAGATGGAAGTCCCACATTCCCAGCAACCCAGTCAGCCACACTTGCATACCATCTCCTCGAAATTGCATAATCACTTGATTCAGGTTTCTTTGAAGCATGCCACTCCATGTGTCTATTAAGTTGTTCTTGCAGTTTAAGTCTAAGGCCACATACATCACAACAATGAGGAGTGTCATTAAAGAGGCCATTGATCACTGATGGATGTGATTCCCGAATAATTTCTGGTTTAAACTCAGTGCCTATAAGATCCTCTGTCTGTGTTGTAGAGACTTGAGACAAGGCATTTGGGCGTTTCACCACAGGTTCTGATAAATTTACCTCACTCCTGGAGGTTGTAGGAACGGTTGACGAAATGGGACCTGAAGAAACCAACATGGAGCTACTAGTCACCGGACTGGGGCTCTGATTCTGAAGCCGGCTTGGAACTTGGGTTGTGGTCAGAGTTGGTGACTCCGTTGATGATGTAGATATCAAGCCCTTTGCAACTAATGAGCTCAAAAGGTTTGACAATGGGTTTGGGACAGCATTGGCCATGCTCGATGTCTGCAGTGAAGTACTACCTAAAACAGAAGAGGACGGTGGAGGACCAGGTGGAAGAGGAGGTAGTCCAGATGCTCTCTGGGCAGTTGCTGTTAGAGATGATGCACTAACATGAGAAGCCAGACCTGATACAGAAGTTGGTGCAGAGGACGTAAGCTGGAAAGGAGGTGGTCCACTTGGCAAAGGGGGCTGGATATTCAAATTAGAAGGCTGCACCCCTGAATCCTGAGAATTCAGGTTGGGAAGGCTACTAGTTGCTGAAACCTTTGAAAGTAGGCCACTCTTCATAATTGCAGCCAACAAACTACTTGTACTCGTTTCTCCCGAGGTCTCTGTAGCAGGATTATTAGAATGGCCTGAAGCAGACAAACCTACTGCTTGTGGCATTCCAGAAATTGAGGCTTGAGAAAGTGGCTTCTGGGTTTGACCAGATAGTTGAGATTGGTTTTGTTCAGACTGAGGCTGCTGATGAGAGAAAGGACCATGCCTTAATTGGGGCAAGCGAACTGAGGAAGATGATGTCTGTAAATGCTGAGGGAGCTGTGAATGATTTGACTGCAAATTCTGCAAAGGACCTGGATGGATCTGATTTTGAGGCAATATTGGAAAAGAATCTTGAGAAACTGAAATTTGAGGTATCCGGTTCAATGATCCTGGAGGTTGTGATGATTGGGGACCGGGCTGATCAGTCATATCCTGTGCTTGTTGATGCTGATGGACTGCTGAAGATGAAGGTGAGTGGGGACGCTGGTGCATGGACAACTGTCCAGATGGGGAAGCTGGTCTGAGAGGCTTATGCCGTTGTTGCCCCAATATTCCAGTGGATCCTGATCCTGCATTTGTCAAAGATCCAGTGCTTGGAGCTCCAACAAGAGATGGCACTCGAAGACCTGTTCTGGCAAAAGATACAAGCTGTCCTTCTGATTTGCCTGAAATCAGAAGTGGCTCTTCTAATGGCCACCCTGAAGATGTCCGATGCCCAAATCCAGATTTTCCTCTCTCTGTTACAGGTATATCTGTTGAAGTTTCTCTTGTAATCCTTGACCCAAATTCATGTTCACTCCGAGTTTGTGATAGGTGGTCATCAACATCCTGCACAGTAAATTTAAGTCAGCAGAGCTAGATAACCTGAAATTATAAGATAGTCATATGCTTGACTGAAAAAAGGCAGAAACTGCATTCATAATAAGTCTGTATGTAGGAAAAAATACATGCCATGTTCACACAAAGATGACACGAGTGAAAGTGCAAGTTCTCAACCTATCATGATAACCTGACAAGGCATGCATGGTAAACAATAAATATGTTGGCCAAAGTGGGACATCTTCAAATGTCAAGCAATAAGAATTCTTGTTCACTATTTCTTCTTCAGACTTGGAATGATCTTGCACCAGTTAACTTCACTCCTTTTTTTTTTCTTTTGATGGTGATTAACTATGCTAAAGTCATCAAATGCTTTCAACATAATAATGGATACTGTTAACTCAAGTGTGAAGCTCATTCCCCATTTGGTGGACATGCATACCTGAAGAATGTAGGACATGTAGAAAATAGCTTGATGAAAGAAGCAACATATGCATAGAAGTTGTGCACAATGCCATTTAGCTAAAGGGATATATTGTCACTCTAGATTTCAACCATCTGAAAACATTAGGCTTTAAAAAAGCAAGGTTGCTTGCATTTCTTTTTTTTTTTTTTTTTGATCAGCAAGCAAGATTGCTTGCAATTAAAATCCACCTTTGCCCCCAAATGGCTTCTCCAGCAAGAAGACATATCAAATATATATCTCCAGTGAGATGTCAAAAGCTTGTTTCAAGCATATGCTTACCAGATTTTCTGCATCATCAGGTGTCAAACCATCTCTCCTTGAGCTATCCAGAGCCCCATGATCAGCCAATCTGGAGTTCATATCATCCCAAACATATTCTTCTTCCTCCGAGTTTTTCCAATTCCTAGACACCCCTCTGCTGTTTCTACTTGCAATGCTTTGTGCTTGTTGCATCTGCACAACAGGCTGGGCAGATCTGGGTGGCGGGTAGTTTTGGAACCCATGTTGGGTTTCAAATCCATTCCTTGGGCCAATAATTGCATCTGTAACATTGCCACCAACTCCAAACCAAGGCTTACCAGGTCCCTCTCGTTCAGTAACTCTCTCGCTAGCTCTTCCAACTCCCAAACTGGAGCTTCTTGAAATATCAGAACCATATTCATAATCCCCAAATCCTGCTGTACTGCTCTTCTCATGAACAGGCTCACTCAATGCTTCCTTCTGAGGACGCGGAACATTCTGCAGAATTTATCTCGTTACAACACAATTAAAATGGATAAAAAGCATATACACATAATAACATTAATGCATCTTAACATGAAATCTATTATTAGCCTTCACTACTACCCTGGCTATTATTCCAGCCTCTCCATATCCTAAGAAGATATAGCTGTGCACTTGGTACTGTCACTAGGTGTTCCTATTGCTTTCATTACATAAATCCAAGCGAACATTCAAGAAAGGTATGATGCAAGATTTGGTTGACTAAATTAATTACTAGTCACACACACACACAGATAGCAATATAGAGAGAAAAAGTAAATATGAAAAATTCAGCAAACCAATGAAGTCTCATAAGAACACAAAAAGAAAAAAAAAAAAAAAAATCTGTTTTTTTGGATCAGTTAGAACAATCCAAATTAGGCTAAGTTTGGGAGTGCTTAAAAATAAACACTTATTTTGGGTCAGGACCACACCAATAAGTGTTTATTTGCATTTGGGAAATAAGCCCGAATAAGTGCTTATTCGAGAAGCCCAAATTTTGGGCTTATTATTAAATGGCTTATTTTCTTTCTGGCCTGTCTTGGCTCGCCACATCATTTTGAAAATACCTATACTGTGCCTGTTTGAAATAAGTGCTTTTCCATCAAATAAGCACACCCAAAACCGCCATTAATACACTGCACTAGTACAGCTCCATAGATTATTAGTTCACTGGGTGTGCAATGAAACTGGATTATGCTGCAACTTGCAATGATAATAAAATCATATTAATGTAATGTCAGTAGACACTTCAAATGACAACTCATCCCAAAGAATTACTATATGGCAGTGTCAGCAACCAAATAGACCCTAGTCACCCAACCCTTCTGCAAGAACTGCTCAACAACCCATATAACTCGAGCATGACTTGCCAGAGTCGGAGACCAGCCTAGCACCACAGTTCAAACCAGTTCAAGTGGATCAATACACATATTTCTTCTTTTATTTATACATATAAAAAAAGGAATCAATAGGAAGGAGGGAAGTTGAAAAACTTATAACTAAGCCAATGGAAAAAACAGTTTTTTTGAGTTACAATATAAGGTTGTTTTTCCTTTTGGTAGTATTCACCAAAATCCAAGAATCAGAATTTACAGTTAAGACCGAACGATGTTGTTAAGAGTACTTACATAAACAAACTAATTAACGCAAGTATCAACCATATAACCTGATTGAGTTTGGGGCTTAGTATTAGGTGGGCCTCACTAATAAAATACCAGGGAAGGGGATTAAGGGGAGATGGGTTAGATTAGATTTGACAATAATCATTGCTACCGCGCAAATCATGGTGACTATAATGGTTGACAAATCCCCATGGTTTCTTTTGTAGTTTTGTGCTCCCTTCAAGCTCTCTCCTTCTGTTAAGCCCTCTTATTGTTTTCAAAGCTAAAAATATCTAGGATAGGTCGATTCCCTTAAAGTAAGGCTTTATTTTTGGAGGTAATGCATAAGAAAATCAACAACTATGATGTTTTCAGTAAAGGGGGTTTATTTTGTTTCTATCTATCACCACATTGATGCTACTTTTGTACAACAAGCAGTAAAAGCCTATTTATGACTAATTAACCTCTTGTTCTTGTATCGCTTGTATTTTAGAAGCATTTCCTTTCTTTATTTATACAGCCAGCAGATGTGGAGAGTCACCTTTTCACAGCGCTTTTTTTTATAATTGTCTTTTCACAGCATTTTTCTTCTCCTATTAACAGGCAGGAGGTAAAAAAAAATTGAGGATGAACCATCCAGCGATGATTTTAAATAAACCCACCACCCCCTTTGAATCCCCTTCCACCACTTAAGTGGAAGAAAGATGTGACTGATCCAGTTTTCTTCCAGGGTGATGATTTCACCAGTTCAACATGGGTCAGGCCATTTTATCAATAGAATAGATCTGGACCATCAGATTAAAAGGCTCACTGCCACTTGCTACTGCTATAGCTTCTGGTTGATGGGTCTCGAAAGAAGTTTAGAGACCGGTGCCTCCAACGATTAGAGCTTTCTATAGGGAAGTGATCAAGATCAACACTTGTGACATGCTCCAAAACAAGAGGCCAAATTGATCAAGAGACAAGAGTAAGGGTGACCATGGGTCAGGTTAGGCCCAAGCCAAGCTCAGCACTTATGATAAGGGATTATAGCCCAACCACAAGCCCAAATCAGCCCAAACTCCATGCCTAAAATATAAGTCCAGGTCCAGGTCTATAGGAACCTAAGCCAGGTCAAACCACACTTTGGGCCTCTAACATCAAATAATAAAAATTTTCATTAATTATAAAACTTTATATTATATGATGTGAAATACATTTAAAAAATGTTAAGTGGGCCCAAGCTGGGCCAACCTTGGCTTGGCTCTATCAGCATTATAACCAACATTTAAATAATTAAAAGCTCACACCTTGAAGATTGTTACTTAGCTAGAACTATGACATGATTAAGTCATGACTGATGTCTAGATCAATCTTGGCAAGTTGGTTGGTTGTATTTCCCATACTAGAGTAGAATCCCATTAAGTTGGTTTTTTCTAGCTCTAATTGTATTCTTACATAAAATAAAAGATGCCTGATGACCATGATCCATATGTTTACTTGCCCATTATAAGTATTTTGTTGAAAGAAACTCCTTTTTCCAGTCCACAAATCAAGGAGAAGAATTCTTACAAGACATGACGGAATGTAACAATTATATACACTGGAGCACGGACATAAACTGCTCTTAAAAGCCTAGTGCAAAACCCATATCGTGACATTGTTTGAATAATAAGATAATGAAGGATAGGTAGCTTTTATCTACTAAATATGACATCAGAAAATAATAAGCGGTACCGAAGACATGTATCTTGTATCACGCATACCCAGGATGATAGCAATGTGCCCAGTATGCAAAACATGACTAAATCACATAAGTTAAAAGTAGAACTGCACTCACCCTACTTGATTGCTGAAGGCGCTGCCTCGCCTCTAGGTACTTAGGATTTACATGAATGCTATGTGGAGGGCGTTGTGACTGAGAATCAGGCCTAGATGCAGTGGTTCCTGATGATGAACCATTAATGGCTGGTGGAAATCCTAGTTCTTTCTCAATGAGTTGAAGGGTTGCAGAGGGGAATACCCCCTTCCAAGTCCCAAATAAATGCCTCATACCAGGATGAATTGAGGAGTCAACTTGTCTATAGGCCTTGCAAAATACCTAGAAAAAAAAATAAAAATAAAATAAACACTGGTTTGTAGCTCTAACAATAAATAGCACAATGTATAGCAGCTTAGAAAAATTAAGAAACATCATAATAAAATGAAGATTAGAAAAATCCATTGACATGCAAGGGGAATAAACTGCAATTAACTAAGACTTTAAGAAACCCAGTAGCTGAAGTGTGGATGCCTATCAGTTACAAAGTTCACAAAATTAAAAATAGAAATAAAAAATTATGGCTATGGAACCCAACTGAAATAAATGGCCTATTTTCTCCAATATTTTTCTGATTAAGGAAAATTAGAGCAGTGATAAAACAGAAAAACCATGTAAACCAAATAAAATTTTCACCAATTACTCCACAAGCCATTCTAAATGACAGGAAGATGGAAAATTCTAACCTCAGGTAATCTTGCAGCGAAGTACTTTATGTAATCTCTCGCAATATTCTTTACAATACTATCTAAAAGGTAGAGAGAAGGTAACTTTTGCTCGCTAGGAACCTGCAAATTATTTGCAGTCATATAAAACACAACATTACTAAATTTCCCCAAAGAATTTATGTCATACAAATTAATCATGAAAGATAGGATGCCTTCATAGAATGAAGAAATTCAAAACAACTAAATTAAGAGGAAACCTATAACATGGTTCTAAACTAAATCAAAACAAAAAATCTCAGACAAGATTAAATACATCAATCAAATATCAGCAACATGGGGTGATGGTAAAGACATGGTGAAGGCCATCAACATTTAGCCACATCAACAACTTGGGCTTTCACTGAACGTGAGAACTAAATCTTAGTAACAGATACATGATTTGACAGCAAGAAATGAGAACAAAAGAAAAACAATAACAATAAGGAAAATAAAATGAGAAGGGAAATGAGCAAACAAGGAGTATGTTCAAGATCTTCAACATTGGAGGAAAAACAGCTTTTCAACACATGTTATCTAAGAAACAACAAGACAGAAATTTGTTTATGCATATTGATTGTGGAATGGTCAAATTTTCTAAATCAGATACCTCCAATTAATCTCAAGCCAAATTAGCCAATTTTTAGTAGACCCAACATAAACACAAATTGGAACTCTATAATTAACTTAAAAATTATGATTCTCACAACCATAGTTCTATAGAAAGACAGTAGTAGTGTTCATGAACCTAATGTTCCAAATAATATGGCGGACACTAAACAATGAAAAGAGAACGGAAGCCAAGAGCAAGCTGGAACACGATGTCATCGTACCACCTACAAGACCTTGATGCTCCAATACATACCATGTACTCATTTGTTCAGGTGCATGGATATAAGTCAAGCTCTGCACCTGCCAGAACTTTGACACAGTTTCCAGTCTTCTGACCACGAGGATGCTGAATGTTAAAAGGCCATCCACTACATAATGAAGGCAGAGACCTTGAAAACAAAAATCATTCAAGAACATATGCCCACAATTGTGAGGGCAAAGTTCACTCAGAAACAATTACCGAATTTAGCCACCCAAAAAAATAGTACTTGCCCTAAGCACCACTGAAACTACAAGGGTTTTAAAGATCAATATTTCTCACCAGAACAAGATATAATCCAGATGAAAAATATGTTCACTATAAGGTAATAAATTTCAAATCCAACTCTAACCACAGGGATATATGCTTACTAAATACAAGAAATCATCCAGCTAACCTCCTCAATGGATATGGCACTAAACAGAACAGAATGGAAAACAGGATCCATGTAGCTGAATAGTGGGATAAGGTTTAGATGATGATGATGATGAATTCATGATGATGTTGATGTTGATCCAGCTAATCTCCTGTGGTTTATCAGCGTATGAAAACATAGATATTCCATTCCCCCTCTTATTTAGTTCAACATATCAAACAGAAAAAGAAGAAAAAAGTAATTGTTTTCAATTAATGGTTATTAGTAATACAGACAAGAAGCAGAGTGTATGAAGTGATCAATTCAACTCAGCTTCAATTATTTGGGGTTAGCTACATGAATTTTGTCCAGCATTATGGTCTATCAAGAGTCACGTTTTCTATCAAATTAGGGTGCATAAAATGATTAAGTAAAATAACAACAAAAAAGAATGATCTTGAGGCCAAAGGCCTAATCCAAAATTTAGAAGAAGATTACAAAGAGACAATGTTATTTAACCATGGCAACAAACACAATTCAGTACATCTTATGATGTTTATTGCTTATATGCTCAACCCTTAATCATTAATCCAATATTATTGTCATGGCCTCGTAACAGATTGTGAAATGTTGTAGATCACATGAAAACCCCCATGCAAGTAATGAATCCTGCTGACAATTCTTGCCATGTGTTAGCCATATACATCTACTTAGGAACGAAAAAGAGGTTAATGAGTAATCAACCTTCCAGTACCATAACTAATAGATTTTTGGAGTTTCATTTTCCGGTCAGATGACGAGTTAAAAAACATTGATCTGAACCTCGACAATTCAGTTACAGTCTAGTATTCCACTAATCTAAATTATGAATTCCTTCTTGTCGATGATATATTACAACTCAAACAATGCCAGGCACCAGAACCAGAAGATGATTCGGAATTCAGCACATAAACAGTTACAGTCGAGACAGTAAGGAAGAACGGCATAAACCGGTTCACCTCAAGAATATTCGCACAGACAGTGGCAGCGATCCCCTTTGCAGCATGTAGGTTCTCCCCGGCAATAATAGTCAGGTTAGTGATGATTGGTTTCGAATTGAAGGTGAGCTCTGCAAGAGCATTCTTGTACTGACTAACAAGTTCTTGAAGCTGCTGTTGTTGCTGATATGCCCCTCGAACAGAATCATCTCTCTCCCTCTCGTTCGTTCTAAACCTTGAGAGCAACGGTCCAGCTCCGGCACCGGAAACGGAAGAAACTCTCTGCGGAAATGGTCGTTCACGATCGACTACCCCGTTCGAACTCCTGTCCCGTTCGGCCTCTTCCGCCAATCTAGGTTTCTTCAAACCTGGCTCTCTAGACCTATCAATGGATCTACGCGTGCTCTCCATTTCCATATCCAATACAGACCAAAACAAGAAAAAAAATTCAAAACCCTAACCCTAATCCTCTTTATGTTACAGAGACATTAAAGAACATAAAAATCAAAACATTCAAAAATTAAAATTAAAAGCTGACAAAATCCGATCGGAACGGGTTTCAGAAATCTCAGACCCTGAAAACCCTAACCCTAAATGGCTTTACAAGAAGTCAAATGGGAGACAGATGGTTAACGATACAGGAGGAGAGTTGGCGCCCGCGTGGTTGAGTTTCGTAAATTGGAGAGGAGTCAAGGGTCATTTCGATTCCAAAGGATTTGCAATGGAGATGGGAAAGATAAATAAAGAATATAAAGATAGCGCGTGGGCCGTGAGCGTAGATGAAGCCCGTTTGATGCGAATCCGGATGTGGTATGAATAAAGTGTGCCAAACTGGCCAAATAACCAATTATGAGTGAACACGTCAGTATTCCATATGCACACGTGGATCCCATTTATATGAATCATAGACGTGTTCACTCGTAATTGGTCCAGGTTTTGTACATTTGTGCTTACCATAGATACATCGGCGTTTGATACGGGTATTTTTCTAACGGGGAACTAAGCTAACTCTCCCTAATCAGTGAAGTGAATACGCCAGTATTACGTATGCATAGAACTCACACTAGTCTATCAAACATTGTTTACCAGCGCTACGACAGAGTAAAGCAAAATATCATGGCCTTATATGTACTGCAGTGGCTCTACAAAATTTACTTCGTTTAATTCAGGGTGGGACCATGGCTACAAATGAAAGGTTTTGATTTAATTGTTTCAGTGCAGCGCTACGCATAGTATGGCGCTCATCTCACCACGATATGGATGACAAGAGATGTTCCTAATACACGGTTGAATGTCATGTGAGACACGGTGGGCCGCTCTGGCTGTAAGGTGTCGACGCAAATTCCAATGTGATACACTTTTCCTCTGCTTCATGGGACTAAACAATAGGGGTTAGGGTTGACAGTATTTGATACACGTCTACCCCATAACATGATACAAAGGGGGTTAGGGATGACAGTAATTAATTGTGTCGATGTCAAAATTGTATTAATCCATTTAATGTGATTAATAAACGTGTTAATTTCAAATTAACCCATCTAGCTCAAAAAAGACTCATACTATGATTCGAAGTGTGTTAAATTATATAAATTTAAATGAAATATTATTATGGTATACAAGGATGATATTGAATAGTTTTTATGAATTTGTTTAATTAATGGATTTTTTTAATATTTATTATTTAATTTAAAACAGGTTAATCATGTTAACTTAGGTTATAGGTATTATTTAGTATAAACAAAAATAGGTTAATCATGTCAATTCGAGTTATATGGGTTATTTGTGTGACTGTGTGACAACTTAGTTGAGGATCATTTTATCTAAAACATAAAGGATCAAATAATTCATGAATTGCTTCTAGAATTCTAATAGTAGTCTATCCAGCATTAGATAGAGTCTATCGATTATTGGGTTGGGCTTGCTGCTGTTTGTAAATATTATTGTTTGCACTTTGCAGGAACTATGTGATGTGGCTGTGGGCCCTAATATATTTTTTAGGGCAAAATAGAACCCCCCCTGAAGTTTATGATAATCATAAGAGCTTCCCTATGTTTTCATTGTAATAAATACCTCTACTGAATTTTTGAAAAATTCATCAAAAGCCTCCCTTCCGTCACTAATTTAGACGGAAAACATTAAGCTGATGCATCAATTTTTTCTATATACCAATTTCAGCCTTTTGTAAATTGTTTTACATACAATATTACTTAAATAACCTCGTTTTAAACTCAACAAAACGCCCAATCAACCCCAGATGACTCAGAGAGGAGCCATGTTCGAAATCTATCATCTCAAGAAAAGAAAAACCCCAAAAGAACATCGACTCTCTCAGTCTTATTGTCGACTTCATCTCTCCAGGTTGTGGAGGACGCAAAGCTTTCCATCGGAAGGTATGATTAATCTCTACCATTATTCATCGCAAGGAAGAATATATCATTGCCATTCTTTTCTTTATTTGCTTCTTCCAAAGTTGAAACTCTATACCCAAATCAAAGTTGAAACTCGATACCAAAGTTAAGAGTCATCCTCTTTCCTCAGTTCCTGTTACCACTCATTTCTTATTTCCCTTATCTACCCCTTTCTCTGTTATCGTCAGGTCAGGCTCTATCATTTTGGCTAAGACAAGTCGTTGCCTATGTGGTATCGGGGTATCATCCAATTGTTCTGAGATGCCATGTGTCATGATGTCATTAGAGGGCCAAATTCGTCCTCATCAGTTTGCTTAGTTATGTTGTCCATTGTTTATAGAACGAGAACATAATTGATGCTAAACATGAAAGGTGTATGGAATATTAATGGCATTGAATTCCAATTTGAATGAAACGAGAGATCCAAAGTTCCTGGTTTTATTATTTTGGGCATCAAGTTTTCTTGTTGGAGGTTGTTTGATTGTGGCTGATCTGAAAAATTTATTACTTTGTCGTTAGTAAAATAAGATTTTTAGGAGGTTTGGGCTCCTTAATGGCTGAAGCTGAAGAGGTTACTAACAAGCTTGAAGATTTTCCTATTTAATTATTTTACTTATTTCTAAACTATTTTCCATGAAATTACAAGTTTATGGAATTAACCTTTTTTACTGAATGTAGAACTGTTCATGGGCCAGGTAGCCCGATGGCCCAGCCCGCACCCCGGTCGGGCTTGATCATGTAATTAGGCTCGTGGGCCTAACACAGTAAGCCCAATGTGTTACGGGCCAGGCTCGGGATTTGTCAAAAAAGCCCAACCCGGCCCGGCCCGACTCAGCATTATATATTTTATAAAATACATAATATGTATTTTATATATTATATAAAATATATAAATAATATAATATTTATTGAAATATATATATATATATATTTATAATTTAATATATACATTTTTTTTATTTTTTCTTTATAATTTCTCTCACACTCTCTCTTTCTCTATTCAACCACTTCAGTAGTAGTAACAACATGGGATAAATTTCGGGCTCAGGCCTTAAAAAAATCTATTAATACAGAGTGAAAGCCTGGCCCGAGCCCGGCCCGGCCCATGTACAAGTCTAACTAAATGTGATCAATTGGACCGTGTTGGGCTATGCCATGTGGGTCGTTCTAAGCCGGGCTGTGTTTCCCTCCATTGGGATACTTTAGGGGGTCGGCCCAACACATCCCTTGGCCCAAGCCCACACAAACCTGTGTCATGTCACGGGCTGGGCTGGTATGCGGGCTAAGTCAAGCCACGAACTAGGCTAACCCATGTTTTTTTTTTAATTTTGAAAAAAAAAATAATGAAAAACATAAATTAAAATAAATTAATTAATTAAAAAAATCTTAAAATTTTATTTTATATGAATTTCGATGTATACAATTGTTTTTATATTGAATAATAAAATGAAATGATATAATAAAATTGTATATTATATAATTATTGTATATAATATTAGAATATGCGGTCCAAGAACGTGTGGGCTTGTGCCATGCCGTGGGCCAAGTCTTAGGCCAGGCCAGATCACGAACCAGGCTATGCCATGTTTTGTAAAAATTTTGAAAAAAAAATGAAAAACTTAACATAAATTAAAAAGATCTAAAAATTTTATTTTAGCCCGAGCCCACATGGGTCCATGCCGCGGGCTGGGCTGGTATGCAAGACAAGTCTTAGGCCAGGCCAGGCCACAAACAGGGCTAAGACTATTCATGGGCTTGGTAGCTTGATACTTCAGCATGAACCATTAACACTGCTAAATTAATTAATTAAATAATTTGAGATAACTTTTACCAATCTTGTGTTGATAATACATAAAGTTTTATTTATTTACTTATTTTACTAAATTATTTAATTAATTAATAATTTAATAATCTAACAAATTATTATTGCTAGCAAAGTAAAGACATAGGATCGTATATATATTTATATATATTTACTCTCACTTGATTGTCTATTTATCTCATTTATTTTACTAAATTTATTTATTAATTATTACTTAACTATTTACAATTATTCCACTATATAAAACAAAAATACAATGACAAAAGTCAAATCTCCCTCTCACGCTATCCCCTAATGGCCTTGATTATGTATTTATTTATTTATTGTTTTATTTTATTAAATTAAATATATCATTATCCATATATTTTTATTTATTTTAATTAGATATTTTTTCCAATAAACTTTTAATTAAAGCATTTACCTTACACAAGTTTTTTTTCCTATATAATAATTTACCTTTTTGACAAGCCACTTACCATCATGTGAAATGACAAGGATATTTGTTTATGGACTGACAATCGATTGGGTTATACCGTGATAACTTAAATCAAGAGGTGGGTTGCCATTTTGATTTAAACTACACAGAAATGATCAATTTAACATTGAGGCAAATAAGAAATGGGATCAAGGAACGTAGTGCAGATAGTTCCAAGTTTCTCAAAGGATAAAATCATACGTACTGACTTAATTTCATTAGAGATGAAAAACTATGATGAGGACCCAACCCAAATGGCTAGTTCGCAATCAAGGCGGCCACATGGTTGCACACCACTCTAAAATTAATTGGAGCTAGATTCTGATATCAGACTTCAAATTTTTGTCAATAGGTTTAACATTCAACTGAAAGCAAAGTCTGTTTATGGCACCACATTATGTCTCCTACTCTCCCTAGCCTCTGCAGTCGCATATTGGAGAGTGGAAACATCTCCCTTGTCATTCATGGGAAAATGTAATGGCTTGAGGGTTGTGTTGGCAGCAGATTCTTACCCCCCTCCGAAGCAAAACTAAGCAAAACATTTTAGGAAATGGGAATTAATAATGAAAAAACTAAGGAGAATAAAAAAGAAAAATATTAGAGAATAAGAGTGGAAGACCTGCCAAAAACATAAAGAGTTGATCACTAACCAGGAGATGCATTTTACCAAAAAGAAAAAAAAATAATAATAATAATCAGGAGCTGTTTTGCGTTCCATGTAAAAAACTCTGCCATAGCATGTTCTGTTTTGCATTTTGTCAACATAGGCCATCAATTCAATCACTAACACACGGGGAATATCAACAGAGGCCGGCCTATATAGCCAAACTGCAAATTCTACACAAAGAATGCTGAAGCGGTATTGCTTCCGCTGGGGAAGGCATATTTGGTTTCCTTGAACTTGTTTGTTTTTAAAATTTAATTACAGAGCAATGATACATACAAAAATTATGTGTAGGCAAGTGCAGAATCAACACGTAAGATCAATATCTTCAGGAGATGGTAAAGATGGTGTTTGGCAGACACTGTCCAGTAAGATGTGATCTGGTGGTAGTTCCCCTAGCCCAAGTTAAGAGTCCTCTTTTCTCAGAATGGAAAAAGGAAATGCCCACTAGAGCCCGGTGAACCTGCAGTCTGGAACATGGACGGTCAGAGCATAGACTGCCATTTTCACATTGAAGAAAACTGTGAACAAATGTGTGCTTCCTCAATCTACCAAGAATATTGGTGGTTAAGGCTGCATTTCGAATTCCTTATTTTAAGGACTTTCTCCTTTTTGCAGTTAAAAACTCTGTTCATAGGGACATTTTAACTGCAAAAAGGATATGTCCTTAAAATAAGGAATGCCAAATGCAGCCTAATTTTGTTTGAACAGCCTAAATCCTTCTCTCTCTCTCTCTGGTCACATAGATTATGGCATGTTAGTCTTTGAAATTAAAAGATGGCTAGAGTTAAAAGCAATTTTGCTCGAGTTAAGTGATGTGGATTAAAAAAAATGCACCCACCTAGGAGAATAAGAGACTCTGTCACCCATCAGATCATAAAAAAGCATACCGGCATGTGCCCATTTGACTTCTTCAAGTTAGTCGTGGAATGTCTGCACGAATGGGTTGAGGTGCTGGGGGTTTCACCAATGGCTTCAAGGATTCCATGATACTAGAAAAAGAGGGGCGTTTCCAGGGCTCGCTGCAGTTCAAAATATTACAATTGTGAGAGGAATGGATACAACAAAGGCAATAGACGGAACTACTAAAATTAAGATAAATTTGACAATTTTTACTCACTTGGCCCAGCAGGCCTCAATCAAGGACGCTACTTGAGGATTTACATCACTTGGAATCTCAAGCCTTTTGCCTCTAAAGCCAACAGCTGCTACAACCTGCAAGAAGGAAAGCAAGGAGCAATCAACTTAACAAGTCTGTAAGATTGAACAAGCAACAATAGCTTGGAGCCTGAATTGTTGAACAGTAAATAACAAAAGTGATTAAAAAAAAAAAAAAAAAACATAGCAGGAAACTGGCAGAAGACTAATTCTATGAACCTTGGCCACAGAACAACTTAATCATTAGTAGTTCATGAAAAGGAGTAAGACCCCATCAAGTATAACATCATGGAATTGATAAGAACATGATAGATCTAGTTAAATTGAAAATATGAATTAAAATCTTCACAAAGGTATCGAACATAAAGTGAGTGGAACCAAGTGAGTTGAATTGTATTAAAGTGAGTGGAACCAAGTGGTGTATTGTATTAAAATTTAAAAGGGGCCTCTAACATGCAAAATAGGGTCAGGTATGCAAAATTCAACTACACATTGCCCGTATGTATATTTCACATGTGGATGTAGGCACAACTTGCCAAACCACGTTAAATCTTGTGTTTCTCTGTTTTTCATTTTCTTTGTTGTTTTCTTTTCTTGCACGACAAAGTGAGGCCTCCTTTGTGCAATAATCAGATTCTTACATATGAAATATTTTATAGGGAACTTATAACTGGAGCCTAACATCCATCAAATTAATTAGTTCCTGTGTTCAGTCCAGACCCACAATAAAATTGTTACCAGAAATAGAATCTTAACAGTTAGATGCCACAGCTGTAAGCTTTCAACTTCACAGTGGTGGTGTCATCAAACTAAATTGCAGTGGCTATTAGTTGGGAAATCTGAGCCCATCTGAATTAGGCAGTATGTTATGAGAGAAAGCTTCAACTAGACAACCCCAAATAAATAGGATAACACTTTTTTGAATGCAGATAAGTTGCATTTAGTAGTAAATTTTCATAGAAATATTTTGTTGAATTTTTACATTTGTTTCATTTAATTACTTTATTGTTGGGTAACATGCTTGAATTTGGGACTGCAATATCCTTGGTCTTTGTTCACTGAAAGTAGCAATAGAAGGAGATCAATGTACCCACTCCACTGTCTTCATCAAAGAAAAGGCAATGATGGCTCATTCTGAAAGAAATCCTTATTAAATTCCAATCTGAATGGCTCTTCTGCTCTTCATTATGGGTGCTGAGTTGGAAGGTTGATTGAACTTGTATCATGGAAAGAAGGCTCCCACATAAATAGGACCTTTAATCTTTTACCAAAAAGTTAAATCATTACCAAGATTAAAAGAGAGAATATTAAAACTACTTCCCACCAATCTAGATGAAACAACAACCACGATGCTCCAACATGAAAGCCAGGAAAAAAAAAAAAAACTTCGGTACTGAACTGCATACTCCTAAACACATTGTCATGGATCAATAGATCCAATTAGGAATCAATACTTTAACCTTCAAAGTTTTTTAGTCTACTTGTTTAAATTATATTTCTAAATTATCTGTGTGATTTTATATTACTTAACAGCCAGTCCCCAACCATTAGTTTTGAAAATTGGCATGTTGGATACTCCATGGGATTCTGATGCTCCAGGGATTCTAGGGCACTTTTATGTAACATTTTCCTTTATCTACTTGCTTATTGACATAAAGTAACAGTTAATGTACACAATGGACACTTTTTTCATAAAATATTATCAAGTAACAAAGTCAAATTTACAAAACCTATAAAATATGGCCTAACTTAATACTTTACACTTTTCAATAGACGTGTCGGACTCCTTGAGGACCTGGACATGCATTGGATTCAAATTTCCTTGTCCCTGGTGCAAGCGGGATTTGATCCCAATCCTCCGCTACTACCAAACAGAGCAGAAGAAACCTTGTGTCCTTCCTCCCCCCTCTAGTATTTATACTTTGCTGCGAATATTTTTTCTTGGGTTGATCAAATCAAGTGTTTTACCAATAACATACCCTATAAATATGTGCATTCAATATTAATGATCTTTATATTTCAACAAATAAACCAATGAATGTACCTGGGCTGGATTTAAATTGCTCCAAGGTTGTTGTAGTGTCACAAGCTCCCACAAGATTACACCAAAACTGTAAACATCAGATTTCTCATTTGATGGCTCATCACGAAGAACTTCTGGTGCCATCCATTGAGGCTGATAAAAAAAAGGAATTAATCAAACAGAGCTTAATAAGTATTGCAAGCACTCCATTCCACTACACAACAATTCACATCAGGAAAATAACAAATAAAAAATAAATACGGAACTTACAGTCCCTGCAGCTGATTTGGATGAGAGAAAGGTGTTTGCCTTAAATCGGGAAAGGCCAAAATCACATACCTAATTGATCACAAGAAGCATTAGAAGGTATTACAGAAACTGCAGAAGCATACATCTGATGCAAACAGGGAGGACGATAGGGAGTGGAGATGGGGAAAACAGTCACACCCTTTTCCTGCAAGGGAGATTTGAGAATCCCCAATCCCATCAAGAATGACCTTGACATGGACAAATGCCCTGGGAATCCCTAAGATGAGACCAACTATCAAGAAGAGGTGAGGAACCGCCATCTTTTGATCTGTGTACTACTATTATGCAAAATATGAATTGAAAGGGTTGGACCATTTGTTTATTCACTGCTCATTCAGTGCAATGCGGGAGCATTTCTTTGGGGCTTATTATTAAGTGGTGCTTCCTCAAAACATTACAATAGGTTATTAAAGGTTGCCAAGTGAAGAGTCTAAACTGAAGGGGAAGACTAATCTGGAGCACTATCCCCACAGCTATATGCCAGGCTCTATGGAAGGAAAGAAATGGCAGAATTTTTTATAACAAGTGGAAGTTGAGGTGACAAGGAGAGCAATGGCCTACGTCTAGTCATGGCTGTTGGTGATATATATATCATGGGAATAAGATTTTGTTAAATGATGCTTATAAGAGGGATTGACTATTTATATATCATGGTTAGCTTCTACAGTCACTGTATAGGGCCTATCGTGGTTACTTAATAAGATATTGTCCAAAATTCAAACATATTGAGCTCACAATAAGATATAAAGAGCATGAATAAGGGATCATGTGTGCACCCGTGCACCACTTAACCTTAGATGAAGGGAAAATGTCCAATAGTAACGTTCACTTATTCATACCTTTACTGTATATTTTTTATCCACCAAAAGATTTGGAGACTTCAAGTCTCGATGAACAATGGGAGGATTCCGTCGGTGAAGATAATTCATTCCCTTTGCCTGGACATAGGCATCCCAAGCTCATGAACTCAATCAAGTGTAAACTTCATATCAGAAATAATAAATAATAAGAAAAAATCAGCTCACAGGACAATGATTTGCTAATCTTTTTTTTTTTTTTTTGATCAGTAACTCAACAAACTTCATCATAGGATAAAAAGGAAAATTTATACAAGAGACACAAATTCTGAAATACAGAAACATGGATAAGATAAGAGGATAAGAAATAAATAAATGTGAGACAGAACAAAATGAAATTTTACATAGCCATACCACATCATAGGCCATATTTAACCGACGTCTCTCATCCAACATCTCTCTTGGACCTGGCCTATGCAATAGCCTGTATAAGCTGCCTCTGCAACTCAAATGCCATAGTGTAATTATTTCTTCAAACTATATTTTACTTGTACTAAGTGATGTTAAGAAACCCCATGAAAGAGAAATATAAGGAGAAAATTATAGTTTGATACCTTGATAAATATTCTGTGACTATGGACAAGTTTGGGGGTTGGGTAACAGCCCCCATGAAAAGAACAACATTTGGATGTCGGAGGCGTTTCATAATTGCAACCTAATAAACAACACAGGCAGTGAAATTATACTTCAGACCTGGAATCCACAAAATAAATAAGCATAAAGATGCAATGAACATTTTCTCCAAGTACAGAAATTAGATCTTCATTATCCACCTTGGTTCATATATAAATTAACTTGTTAATAAATAACAGGGCCTGAGGGGATTGCAAAAACCAAATTAGTTAAACGCAATAAGATGTGGTTAGCAATTTTTTCTTTGCTACTTTATAGCCTACTATCCAACTGCTGGATAAGCAATGAATACCATTTTACTATTGTCTACAATAAATAAATAACAGAAAATTTTGTTGCAATATACCTCCCTCAAAAATTCCTTGAAGCGCTCTGCATGAAAATCTTGTTCCATGAGAATCTTCACAGCAACATCCTGAAAATAATATCTTTTATGAGAAATAATGAAATAGTAATTAGAGAGGTTTAACCAGTATAATTCAAATGGACCAAAAGAAAGATAAATGAGTATGATTAGAAACTGCCAAGTTGCCCCAACATTACCCTATAAACTTCTCTCTATTTTTTCTTTGTTGTTCTAAAAATTATTCAAAATCCTGCAGCTGTATCTCACAGAGAAACTTTTCTACTGTTCCCTTGATGTCAGATCAAGCTTTAACTGCTGTCAAGAAAATCAAGCAATGTTTTTCTCTAGTATAAACTAGCAAGGGGGCCCCTGCGTAAAGTAGCTGAATCCCCAAACCTTTTTAATTAAAACATATATATTTTCTGATATATAATCAGGATTGAGGAAGTGCAAGGACTTCGCTCGCCATCCCCATCACTATCCCTGACCGGGTATCCCTATTAATCCTCGTCATTGTTTTCTGCTGGACGGGGAAAAATTGCCATCGCTACTCTCTCTCTCTCTCTCTCTCCATCACTATCCCTATAAAGAAAAACAAATGCATAGAATGAAGTTCAGCCTTGACCAGTCTTAGGCTTATATTTCAAGCTCAGAACCAAAGGCATCAATTGGGGAAAGTGGGTCACCTAGATTTGAGAACCGTCTCCACTACCCTTGAAACACTGGACTCAGAGAGAGTAGAGAGACAGATTATATAATATTTTATATTTATAGATATAAATTTGCAATTTTTTGTTTAAATTTGACAGTCGGATGTCCCAAAACATCGGACTTGGGAGGGAGAGAATATTTTTCAGTTTAAATCTGAATTTGAACTAAAGTTGGATGACCCAAAACATTGGACTCATAGAGAAAGTAGAGAGAGATTATATAATATTTATATTTGTAAATATAAATTTGAAAATATTTCTCGTGTAAATCCAAATTGACATCGGAACTAAGTTGGATGAATTGAAATATCAGATTTGGAAAGAGAGAGAGAGAGAGAGAGCAATTTATATTTATGGATGATAGGTTATTTAATTTAGACCTTAGAATTTCCAATTGTTACTGATGAAGAAACAAGAGTGTATTGGTTAGGTAAAAAGTATTTAGAAAAATATAGGATGCTAAACAGCGGCACGATGGAGGAGGGCTCTTAAAGTTGAAGCAAAAAACTTTTTGTTCAAAGAGGTGAAGATATGGGCAGCTCATTCTAAAGATCAGGGAAGCTAAGAAGGCAACAGTCTTGCTGGTCGGATTGGAGGTGATTGAGTGGCTAAGAGGTTTTATCTCGGAAGCTTGCCTGAAGGAAAGTTAAGCAGTCAGAAGGATCTATCCACTGGCACAGGAAGAAGCTATTTAGTTGAATGTAAGAAAAATGCTAAAGGCTCCTTCATAGCTTTCTCAGAATTCTTTGATGAAGGTAGGAAGCAACAAGTCTGTTTTCCAGAAGGTAGGAAGAGCTGTTGTTGGAAAATGGTGGTCAAGACCTTGGACAACTATCTGTTAAAACTGATAACAAAAGAAGTAGAGTCTTCTGGGGAGAAAGAGGAGGTTCCTAAGGCAGTTGGTAGTGCTGATACACTTGAGAAGAAATTATTGACTGGCACTCAAGGTAATAGTAATCACACTGTGCTTGTAAGCTCAGAGAAGAAAGTTTGGTTGAGCAAGTTGGTGATAGAAGCAGAGAAACAGGTTGATGATTGGAAGAAGGTAGCAGATGCTCTGATAAAAAATCTAAAATTACAACACACTTTTGCACTAACACCCTTTGATAGCTGCAGAGCTTTGTTAGATCTGCTTGAAAATAAAGTAGAAGTTGTGGCCATGAATATCCTTGATGCTGATGGGACTTCTAATATATTTAGATGGACTCCGTCATCAAACTCAAAAAGATTTTTCTGTTACGGATGGAGTGATAGTGCATGTCATAGAGCTACCTTTTCATTTCTGGAACAAAGAGGTAGCAGATTCAATTGTGGTGCTGCATGGAGCTCGTCTAGACGGAGTGTTTTGGGATGATCTTTTTTTTTTTATTAATCGCCCATAGCTTTCCCCTTTACCCTTTTTTTACCCAAAGTGCTGGTTGCGTGTTTTGGGATGATCTTCGATCTGCAGATTTAATGCTTAGTGGTCTTAAGCCTGAGGATATACCCAGTAAAGTGAAGAGTAGATGGAATCTTTCTATCGGTTTGGTTGACTTCCTCCATTGAAGCTGCACTGTGGAGGGAAAGCAAGGTAGAAGATGAAGACATGGAATTTAGAGCTTTACGTGGAAGCTTGGGATTGGAAAGTCAACGAAGAAATAAAAGTTGCACGAAAATGGGTAGGCAGTTACTGGGTGATCCTAAAGTAATGCAGAAGGGGGAAGTCTAAGATGTATAGAACAAGAAAAAGGTTCGGCTTTCAATACATCCTATGCTCAGGTGGTGAGAGGTGGCACCAAGAATTGTTTTTCTAATCCTCCTAGTCAGAACAACCTATCGGGTTGGGTAAATCCGTAAATGGACCTGAACTGGATCTGCAAACCCAAGTCCAGGGTGTTGGGCCAGATCAGTTAAATGGGCTGGAACTTAAAAGAGGTTATACTTTGGACCAGAAAGAGTTTAATGATGGGCCAAGGATTGTAGGTCCAGAAGCAGCGGGCCAACTCACACATGAGGCTTTAAAAGGGCACGTGAGAGGGAAAGGAAGTGGCTAAAGGTACACCTAATTCCACAAGGGAGTTCATCCCAGTAGCTCAGCAATCACAGGACCTTTGTTTGAAGGAGAATGTCAACACCAAGAAGATTTGCAACGTTTCACCAGGAAAATGACAGCTTGAGAAGGTTACCTCTGTTTCAGTTGAAAAAGTATCTGTTTCCTCTTCTAGCCTTCCACAGAAAAAGCAGGCACAGGAAACAAAGGTTTCCTTTGTTCCTGAACCAGTCCCAATGACTCCTCCCCAGTCAGGTAACCTTGTCTATTCCGTTTTTGCTACTGATGTGTGTACTGTGCCTGTAACAGATAACCCAGCATCCCAATTGGACAGACTAGAAGGGAGGTTTAGTTCAGAAGGTGGTGTGAATAATGGGCAACTTTTGAAACAACAAGAGTAGTTAGAAGGAATTTGGGCCCAAATTTGTGTCTTATTGGAAGAGTATAAGAAAAATGAAGAGGAGTTCGAGTGGTCTAATAAAACAGAGGTGGAGGATGGGAAAGTTACTCCAACCAGGCAAGGACAACCTCCTAGAGTTCAGGTTGGAGAAGACTTGACAGGTGCAGGTGAGCCAACAAAAAAGGAGAAGAAAAGGAAATCTAAAAAAAAAAAGAGATCAGAGGTGGAGAGATTGATTTCTGAAATTGAGAGAAACATTGAATTCAGCAGCAGAGGGGAGAGAAGAAAGGCTCCCCTTTAAGGGAGTTCTGGGTTTGAAGAGGGGCTGTTGTTAGTGTGAAGCTTCATGAAGATTATTAATTGGAATGTGAGAGGTTTGGGGAGTGCAAGAAAAAGAAGGCTGATTAAGGATTTCTTGAGAAGAGAGAGACCTGATATAGTTTTGCAACAGGAAACCAAACTAGCAGAGTTAGACAGAAGGTGGTTAGAAGTGTTTGGAAATCAAGAGGAGTGAAGTGGACTCAGCTCCTTCCTGGGGAGCTTCTGGAGGTCTAGTTACTCTATGGAGAGAGGATGTGGTGGAATCAGTTGAGGAACTTGTTGGAAGGTTTTCTGTGTCTTTGAAATTTGAAAACTTGGGTGATGGGTTTACCTGGGTCTCCACGAATATATATGGGTCAAATAATTATAAAGAAATGAATTGTGGGAGGAATTATATGGAATTAATGGTTTATGGGATGGCCCTTGGTGTTTGGGGGGAGATTTCAATGTCATTAGATTTTGTAATGAGAAATAACCCTCGAGGTGTTGTTACCTCTAGTATGAGAAAGTTTAATGACTTTATTAAAACCTGTGCATTGAAGGAGATACCCTTGTTGCAGGCCAATTACACATGGTCCAACTTTCAGGAAACCCCCCTTTGTTCGAAATTGGACAAATTCCTTTTTAATGAAAAGTGGGAAAATCATTGGAGGGATTTGGTGGCTAGAGCCTTGCCTAGAGTAACCTTTGACCATTTAGGACCAGAGCTCTTGGGAAGCAGACCTCGTCCCTTTAGGTTTGAGAATATGTGGCTAGCCCACCCTGATTTTGTGCGTAGGGTTGTGGAATGGTGGAATGAGGAGTTGAAGGGGGTAAGGTGGGAGGGAGTCAAGTTTTATAAAAAGCTAAAAAGGCTTAGATCCAAAATAAAGGAGTGGAATAAAAGAAGACGTGGTAAAAGAAGACATTTTCAAGGTCTTTAAGGAATTTGCAAATAAACATATAGTGAACCTTGGAGTTAATGCCACCTTTCTAGCCCTAGTTCCTAAGAAGTTAGATGCAAGACATCCCAAAGATTTCAGGCCAATTAGTTTGGTGACGAGTATTTACAAAATTCTGGCTAAGGTCTTGTCCCTGAGAAAAAAAGCAGTGTTACCCCAATTAATAAGTCAAGCCCAAGGGGTATTTGTGCAAGGAAGACAAATAACTGATCAAATTTTAATAGCTAATGAAAGTGTGGAGGAAATGAGGTATGGCCAGCAAGGGGTGGTTTGTAAATTGGATCTAGAGAAGCTTATCATTTAGTTGACTGGAGTTTCTTGTTAAAGATTCTTAGAAACTGACTTTGGTGATAGGTGGTGTAGGTGGGTGAAGGGTTGCATCAGCTCCTGCTACTAGAGGACTAAGGCAAGGTGATCCCTTTTCCCCCTTTCTGTTTACTCTTGTAGCAGATGTTTTCAGTAGGTTACTTTCTAAGGCTGATAGGGAGGAGGTAATGTCCCAATTACCCATCTCCAATTTGCGGATGATATCATCATTTTCAATTAAGGGGGCAACCTACGGAGAGCGAGGAATCTAAAGAGCTTGATAAGTTACTTTGAAAGTGTCTCTAACCTAAAAATAAATCTGAATAAGAGCTATGTAGTGGGAATAAATTTGGATGACAGGGTCATTGAGTTCATTGCTGAGTGCTTAAATTGTCAAGTGGCTTCTTGGGCTCCCTTTAGGTGCTAACCCGAAGGAAAGTAAGTTTTGGACTCCAATCCTAGAGAGGTTTGAAAAAAGATTAGCTACTTGGAAAAAGAACTATATCTCTCTAGGAGGTAGAGTAACATTGTTAAGAGCCACTCTAACTAACTTGTCGATTTATCATCTCTCTGTTTTTATAATCCCCTCTAGGGAGGCAAAGAAATTGGAGAAATTAATGAGGAATTTTATATAGAAACTAGGGGAAGAAAAAAAGGATCACTTAATAAGGTGGTATATACTGTGTAGAAGTAAGGAAGAAGGTGGACTGGGGATAGGAAATTTGGTCCTGAAGAACACAGCTTTGTTAGGTAAGTGATTGTGGAGATGGCCCTTGGAAAAAGGGAGATTATGGCATGAGGTGATAGCTAGTATTCATCGTCGCTCAAATAATGGCATGAGGTGATAGCTAGGATTCATGGTTGTTCAAATAATGGCTGGGATATTGGTGTTTCTCAACGAGCTACTTTGACAAATCCTTGGAAAGCGATTCATAGCATCCTTCCCCAATTTCTTAATCTTGTCAAGTATGATGTTTGCTCAGGGAATTTTGTTCTCTTTCGGGAAGATGTTTGGGTGGGAAATTCAGCCTTAAAAGACCTTTTCCCTTCTCTCTACTCTATTTCCTTGTTTAAGAATAAGGTTGTCTCTAATTTCCTTCCCTCCCCCTTTTTGTCTTTGTCTTTAAATTGGGATTTTTGCTTCCATCAGGGCTTGAGGGATGCTGAACTTGGTGATGTTTCTCAACTTCTTTTGATTCTTGATAGTGTTTGTTTGGATCCTTTATAGTCAGACAAGAAGATTTGGTCCCCCACCCAAAAGGCTCCTTTTCTTGTGCCTCCTTTTTGAAAGCTCTACGTAATCTTCCTCCACTCAATTGGTTTTTCATGTAAAGGAGCTTTGGGCTAAAAGCCTGTTCCCCCCAAAATTATCTTGTTTTGTTGGGAAGTGTTTTATGGGAAAATCAATACTCTAGACTACCTACAAAAAAAGAAGCCTTTTATGTGCCTGTCCCCTAGCTGGTGTATTCTTTGCAAAGCTAATGGTGAGGACTGCTTCCGCTTACTAATTTCCTGCTCCTTTACTGTTACTATTTGGGAATGGATTTTTGCCTTGTTTGGTTGCAGGTGGAATTTACCCACTGATGTAAGTATGCTTTTTGACCCGTCGGTTTTTGTATGGCCCACAAAAAGAGGGAGGATCATGTTGAAATGCATCAAAGCAGCTACACTTTGGACAATTTGTGAGAAAAGAAATGCAAGAATTTTTCAAGAAAAGGAACAAAGTCTCCCAGATATCAAAGAGTGTATCTTAACAAGGGCAATTCATTGGTTGAGAACTTCAGAATTCTTCCATTTGTTCTCCTTTGATGACTTTAGAAGGAACTGCATAGAGGTGGCTAGTAGCTCCCTCAAGAAGGAAAGGGCGTCTATAGTATGGACTCCACCGCCGGAAGGCTGTATAAAACTGAATTTTGATGGAAGCAGTCAAGGCAATCTTGACCCCTCAGGTATAAGAGGGGTTTTGAGAGATAAGGATGGTAATATCTTAGCCTTGTACTCAGGCCCAGTGGGAATAGGAGACTCAAATAGAGCTGAGTTGTTGGCAGCTTTACAAGGTGACTCCAAGATTGTTGTAGGTTGGTTACAGATCCAAGCTCAATTATTTGGTGCTACAAGAACCTCTCAAAGAAGGCCAACCGGTTATTAAGAAACATGAATGTTAGCATACATGGGCTGGAAGGTTTACAAATGCTATGGCAGATTATCTTGCTAAACAAGGGGTATTGAGGGAACATTTGTACTGGGTACCTTGTAATCTTGATCTATAGTGCTATGTGATTTTCACCTTTTAAGGGAGGTCGCACCTTGTGCCTCTCAGTGGGATGCTAGTAATAGTTCTCATATTTTCTTAATATAATTCTTCTTCAATTATCAAAAAAAAAATTATTTAATTTGGTAAAATAAATAAATAAGATTTTATTGGGACAAGACTGCTACAAGCTATCTCGAACAAGACCCAACCCATTAACAACCCTAAATATTGGGCTCAGAGAGAGAGACTTTGAGATGACTTTTGTCATTATTATTTTCGTTTTATATAATGGCATCATTGTAAATGGCTAGATGTTTAGTAGAAAAAATGAAAGGGGGACTTTGAGATTCCATTTCGTGCAAGGAGAGCCTATTACCACACCCCCCCCCCTTTTCTTTTATATATCATGTATAGATGCAAAATGTTGACAGTCATAATTTTGTGTTCCACAAAGCAAGGAAAAGGGGACAAAAAGCACATAAGACTAAAATGGCCCTTAGACATGGAGAGTTAGGGAATCGTAAGATATCTGTTGGTACAGTGGTAAATAAAACTGGGTTTGAGAACAAAAATATAAAGCAATTACTGTGGGATACCATTTTGCGCATGGAGAGACATCAACCATACACCATTCTGCTCCAATATATATATAATTACTATGAAAAATAAGTCCAAAATTACTTTGGAACTGCCTTAGGGAAGTGCCTAACAGCTGACAATCTGACAGAGAGAGGTTGGGTAGTAGAACCAAGCAGATGTGTCCTATGTGGCAACAATTCTGAAAAGTTGGAGCATCTCTTCCTGCACTCCAGATTTAGTTGGGTAATTTGGATGAAGATGTTAGAGGTTTTTGGAGTTTAGTCGTGCCTCCCAAGGTATGTGTTGGATCTGTTACGGGGTTGGGGTCTAAGAGGTCTGTCGAGAAGAGGTAAGATTGTATGGAAGGTGCTGCCAGCGGCAGTAGTGTGGTCAATCTGGTTGGAAAGAAACAAGAGACTCTTTGAAAATCAGTTGAGATCAGAGGAGGAAGTCTTAAGAAGCATTTGGGGAAGGTTACACTCCTGGGTGGCAACGCACAAACTGTTCAAGAATTGTCCTTACAGTTCTTGTTTGGAGTATAGAAATCTTTTTGTATGATGCTATTTTTTGGTTTTTCTGAGTTGTACAAAGCTTTGCCTTGCTCAGTTCCTCAGTGGGCAAGGCTGGATCTTTTTCAATCTTCTGTTAATGAAATACTTTACCTTTTATCTCAAAAAAAAGTCCAAAATTACTTTAAATAGTCATTTCAATTTCCTAATAATAGTAAATTTCTAGAGGACTTGAAATCCCATTCTTAAGACACCTACAACCATAAAGTAAAAATTGGTTTAGGAAGTAGAAAATTCATCTATTTCTCATGGTTTCTTTTCTTGATTCCATATCTGCATCACTTCCCATTTTTCTCCTCTGATTTCTCTATCAAAAACAAACAAAAAAAAAAACACATAGGTCAACTCTGTGTGCGTGTGTCTGTGTGTTTAAAAGGAAAATGATAAAGGTTTCTTGAGTTCTGAGGATTGCATTCTGGAACCATTTCATTGGAAGTCTCAAAATTCCTTTTTTTAACCTTAGCAGCCTGCATTTGTGAAGAATGGATATCTATAACCATGACCCTGAATGTTGTAGCAAAGGCAAACCAGGTCCATCTGGTGTGAGAGGAGACACTAGGGACTCTCATTGAAGCATTTTTGCTTTATTTTCAGGGTCCATTGGCCAAGGTAGCTCCACATTGGCAGAATTAACAGCAATTGTGCAAGGATATAGGGTGACTACATCTTGCAATTTCCAAAATCTGATAATAAAAGGGGACTCCAAAGTGGTGCTGTGGTTGATGGAAAATCAAGAGTTAAATCCCTGGGGACACAGAAATATAATGAAGGAAATAAAATTATTAACAGGACAAAGGGTGGCTGAAGTGAAATGGGTCAATAGGTCCACATATGGGCTGTGCATATGTTGGCTAAACAAGGGGTAGACAGAATTCGGTTGTTTTGGGGCATGACAGGGAATCCTCACTGCAAAAGTATGAGCTAAATGAAAGAAACCTCACTTTTAGGGAAATCTCACTCCTTTCTCAGAGCAAGTTTGGTTTATTCGTACACATTCATTCTTTTTCTTCTATAAAAACCTTGGTTATCCATCCCCCCCCCCACCAAAAAAAAAAAAAAAACTGACCCTGAACATCAGGTCTGGACCGTCTGGTTTATAAGCAGAAATACCACATCACACAAACACTGTGAACAAATATTTTAGACAATTACATAGCAGTTTCACCTTATGAAACCAAAGCCTCCAAGTTGCCATCAAATTGGTTTCCTAAAGTCACTAATATCAAAAGTCAAAACCAATGTTATCAGACTTGGACTGGACTGGATGGTCTGGACCGTCTGGTTTATAAGCAGAAATACCACATCACACAAACACTGTGAACAAATATTTTAGACAATTACATAGCAGTTTCACCTTATGAAACCAAAGCCTCCAAATTGCCATCAAATTGGTTTCCTAAAGTCACTAATATCAAAAGTCAAAACCAATGTTATCAGACTTGGACTGGACTGGATGGTTGACCGTGAGAACTAGGATGGCCATAACAGCTTCTTTGTTTGCTCATTCTTAGAAATGTTTACTTGGTCAAAAATACCACCATTAGATATAAATATATATATATATATATATATTACTGTTATACCCTCTAATATCTATTGTGAAGAATATCTTTAAATGATATTCTGGAACTATTTTCTTTTTTTTTTATTTTGCAATTTTATTTGGATGAGGAAAATGGTTGAATTGTTAAACCTATGATCCAGTCACCAAAAAAATTCAATGTCTGCTGTGAGTCTGACAGCATTGATAAAAAAATGCCAGCCAGGATATTCTATATACTACCGCTATCCAAAAAAGAGAGGAAATTTACAACCAAAATCCAAAAATTGTTAAGCACAGGGTCAAAGCTCAGTAAATCAAAGGACAAATGCTTACCGAACCATGCCAATCAGCACGATGGACAATTCCAAAGGAACCTGAAATGCAGAGTGTCAGGACCATCCAGTAAAGACTCCTACAAGATTATTAGGATCTAACTACATAGCATGCATGTCAAAGAAACAGGAATATATCTAGAAGGCAAAACAAAAAATACCTGCTCCAATTCTCTCCTTCAAAACAAGATCACTCCATGGAATCTCAAAGTCCTCCACATCAAGAGAAAGTTCATTAGATTTACTTGCTAGTAGTTGACCTCTCTCAGTGAATTTAGTCTCAGGTAAGGCCAGAACATTTGGATGGATACGATTTAGTGGGATGGGAGGTTTTGAACTTCCAACATTGAGAGGAGGATTATACAAATTTTGTGTCAGTTCATGAGTATTTAACCAGGCATCTTGTGGAAGAGGTGAGACAAATACTTCATTATTGTTATTTGAAGGAATCAATGGATTGCCCGTATCAGTGTTCCTAGGAAATTGTGGATTTGTAACATCTTCTTTATCAGCAGCAGCATCTTGTGATAAAACAAAAACAAATGGCATCTAATTAAAACCACTATATACCTGTTAGTTGCCAAACTGTAATATAGAAATAACCAAGTCAGAGCTCATCATATAATGAGCAGTCAAAAAGAATGCCATGTATAAAATTATAAATTGATAAGAAAGCTTGAGCCTCAGGCCACTTTAATGACCAGAAAGAGAACAAAGTGAGACAAGAGACTATTATCTGGGAAAAATTTACAAAATAGATCCTCTTTAAGTACGAGTTGAAGCTTTTAGAAGCATTTCCCAAATTCTTGGCTCTGACAAGACCTTGAAGATTCATGTGAACATGTGAAATTACTCTATTTGCCAATAAATATATGTAAGGCATCTCCTTTTTTATAGAAACTTGGAAGGTAATCAAGTGTTTTTTCCAACTGCTTTTGAAGTGATTTTAACAAAAAGAGGAAATTGAGAGCTGTCATTCAATGGACACCAGGGTCAGCTAATAGTCTTGCAAATGGGATTAGCAAAACGGGTACAAGGAACTCGTTGTTTTGGGGAATGGTACAATAAGGGGGAAAATGTATGTGATACTAATTACGAGGATGATTAGCTGAAGCTGACCATCCAGTCACCTTTTATGCACCCAAAGCTTTTCAGATTTAAAAAAAAAACACTTTACTGATCAAAAAAACAAAAAAAAAAGTGATTCTAACAATTTAAGGTGCTGACTCCTTCACATATTGGTCTGATGCCAAAGCCTTGCTGGTGCTGATTCCAGTAAGAGTCATCCTCTTTCCTGTTACCACTCACTTCCTATTTCCCTTATCTACCCCTTTCTCTGTTATTGCTCTGAGGGTTTTTTTGTTATTAAAACACATTTGCTCTGACCAATCTATCCTATCATGTTAAAACACCATTGCCAGTGTTGCCACAAAGATCAGTGCACTCTATTACGTTAAAGTGTCATTGCTGACATTGCAAAAAATCCTGTTGGCATTGGATTGGAATGTTTGGTAAAGATGTGAACTCTTAGAATCGTTTCCCAGTTTCCTTCAAATAATGTGGCATGCTAACATTGGATTGTTTTGTAAAGATGCTTACAGCCATCTTCTGTCATTACCCTTTTTATCCCAATAGATTATAATAGCAGAACTACACAAACATTCTCCAAATATTGCCAATATTGAGCAGATATTATCAGCTCCAGATCATACCAGCACGGAAAATGGATGTCTCATTTTATTTGAATAATTGCATGAAGTAAAATAATCACCTGCTGAAGAATCATCAAATACGAGATTAAGTGATTGACAGTCCAAGAAATACTGTTTTGCCAAGGACCTGAAATTCTCGGTAGTTTCAGGTGTTCTGAACTTTGGAAGACGTAGAGGTGAAGAAATTGAGATGGAAGATGGACCATTGAGCAAAGAATCAGGCTCGCATAAGCAACCAGGCTTTTCAATCAAATCAACCAAGTATTCCCTGAAACCATATAAATATACTTAGCAACTATCTCAGAGGGAAGAGTCCCCACTCCAACTTTTTGCTTTTGCATTTTCTTTAAGGATATTCTTTTCGGTACATAGTACATTCAGTAAAAGAGTCCCGGAAAGATAAGAGTGAAATCATACATAAAAGCAAAAGCAAAAGTTGAAAGGATATCTTAATTATAAATTATCAAAAAAAGGATATCTTAATGATATGTGGACATCCTCAGAAATAAGCACAAGGCATCCCAACAGACTGTAACATCATATATAATTATATTCCACAATCTAGTGCATAAAATACCCATATATCATTAAGATTTCCATCATAGTTGTCAAGATGACACCTAGGCGACAAGGCGCCCTTTGAGGCTCGCCTCGCCTAATCGCCTAACAGTTTTCTACTTCCTACTATAAAATAC